TTTCTCCACTCCTTTTCAATATAGTACTGCAAGTCCTCACCAATGTGATCAGGAAAGAGAAGAAAATAAAAAGCATTCAGATAGGAAAAAAAAGAGGTGAAATTATCTCTATTTGAGATGACATGATTATATACATAGAAGATCCAGTGGTATTCCTGGAAGTAATAAATGAATACAGTAAAGTTGCAAGATACAAAATCAACATACAGAAATCTATGGCATTTCTATAAATGAACAGCAGGCAGACTGAAATAGAACTGAAAAAAGATTTATTTATTTCTTCCATGAGAGAGGCAAAGTGAGACAGAAACATCTCCAACAAGGTCTTCACATATAAATAGAAAAAGGCAAGATCCACCCCCAGCATCAGTCAGCCTAGATCACACATGTGTGTCCAGTATGTGCAGAGAGGCCCTGGTATGCAAACCCAGGACCTTCCCATTTGGGCCCAATTGCATTACCACTGTGCTTTCACTTGGCCCTTGATTCTTTCTTCCACAAACTCAAATTTACTGTTAAAACTCTCTAGTGATTTTTTTTATACTGTCAATATATCCTGAAAAGGATGCCAGTTTTTACATTTTTTAATTTTCTTATTTCTTTTACATTTTCTTTATTTTTTTTTACATTTAATCACTATACATCTTCACTACAAAATGAATCTTCCCAGAATGAATATACTGCGTATCAGTCCAATTGAAGATATTATCATACACATTATTGTCAACAGATAATTTTTCACTTTTGTGTTCATTAGATGGTCTGGTTTTTTCACCTTGATTCCCTCCCTCTCACCCCTATTTACCCATCCTCCTCCCACATTGTCTGTAGTATCCAGTTTCTACTCTAACCCTAACTTTCCAAACTATTATACCTTCCAATCTTTCAGTTTCTGCTGTAGAGTGAAGACATTTGGTATATATTAAATGGGGATATACGATGCCTCTCTTTCAAGTCTGGCTTGATTTGCTTAGCATTACATCTTCCATATTTATCCACTTTTTTTCAAAAGCAAGGATCTTGTTTTTTATGGCTGAATAGTATTCCACAGAGTATATATGTCACAATTTTTCGATCCATTCCTCTGTTCGTGGGAATTTGGATTGGTTCCATGTCTTAGCAATTAAGAATAGTGCCACAATAAACATCAATGTGCAATCACTTTTCTGATTAAGAATTCTTCTGTCCAATAAGTCAGATTACTGGATCATATGGTAGTTTTATTTGCAGATTTTGAGGAATATCCAAATTGTTTTCTACAGTGGTTGGGCCAATTTAAATTCCTACCAGCAGTTTTTTTTTACTTATTTTTTTAAAATCTCAGTCATTCTGACTGGAGTTAGGTGGTATCTCATTGTGGTTTTGATTTGCGTTTTCCTTACAAAGAGAGATGTTGAGCTTTTTTTTTTTTTTTTTTTTATAGGATTTTTTTGTTTTTTTTTTTTTTTTTTTTTCATATGCCTTGTGTTGCCTGCATGGCCCTGTCAATACTGGATATAATTTCTATGTCTTTGAATCTGTAGAGGCTTGTTTTGTGCCCTGTAATGTGGTCAATCTTTGAGAAGGTTCCATGTGGGAGTGAAATAAAAGTGTATCTCATGGTTTATGGGTGGAAAGTTCTATAGATATCTGTTAAGTCCATTTGATTTATGGTATTATTTAGATCTTTTATCTCTTCATCTATTTTTTGTCTAGATGACCTGTCCAGAGGGGCTAGTGCAGTGTTGAGGTCTCCAACAATTAGTGTGTTGCAGTCTATCCCCCTTTTAGATCTAACAGTCTTTCCTTCACATATTTGGGTGCTCCTGCATTAGGCACATAGATATTTATAAGAGTTATATCTTCTTGATCTATTGATCCTTTTACTACAATATAGTGCCCTTCTTTGTCTCTTTGACAGTTTTTGTTTTAAAGCCTATTCTGTCAGAAATTATTATTGCAACTACAGCTCTTTTTTGGTTCTAATTTGCATGGAAAACCTTTTTTTCCAACCCTTCACTTTCAGTCTATGTATGTCTTTATCCATAAGGTGGGTTTCCTGTAGACAACAGATAGATGATTTCTGGTTTTTTTGTTTGTTTGTTTGTTTGTTTTTTTTCAATGCATTCAGCCAGTCTGTGTCTCTTGATTGGAGAATTCAATCCATTCACATTCAATGTTATTATTGATGTTACAGGATCTGTACTGATGTTTAAGTTGGCCATTGTCTTAAGATAAAAGAGAACATCTGGTATACCTATTGTTCATATTAGCATATGTTTTGGTTGCAAGTAATATAAAACTATCTTAGCTTATACAGACAGAAATAAACATTGGTTGGACACTGAGCTATTTCATATACTCTTGGCAGACACAGAGATTTTAGCATGTCAAAGACAACAACACAGGCATCTGAAAGTCTTCAGGACTCTCTTTGAATTCCTTGTCTCAGTTTCTCTCTGTATAGTTTCCTCCCTTTCTTAGCACATCTTTTTGCATGTGATAGATAACCACTAGGTGTGCTCGAGATTCACTTTTCAAAGTTTTAATGGTTAATCTTCTCAAATACCGCTTTAAAAAGTTCAAGTTAGTACTTGGTTGGTCAGGCTTGGGTCAGGAATCTATTACAGAATCAACCGTGGCCAAGGAGTTGAGTCTATGACTGCTTGACTGCTTTGGAACAGAACAATTGAGAGGAAGGAAGAAGAGTTCTCTGAAAGGAAGACCTAAATATTTGGAAGAAGATGAGCAAACGTCAGGCTAGGCATAATGAGTAAGGAAATGATTATGCTTGACCTTTGGATTTCTGTATCATGGTTTGCCATTTTATGTAGCATATTCAAAAGTCAAATCTCATTCACTTTATTTAGATGTCCACCTCTATTTCTCTTTTAACATGCTTCACTCTTCTAGCCATACTTCTTATATAAGAATTGGAAAACTTATTTGGGGTCCTTTGTATTTCTTGGGTCTGGATGCTTGAGTGCCTCTCTAGACTAGGGAAATTTTCTTCCAGGATTTCATGGAATAGATTTTTCACGCCTTTATTAGTTTCTTCACCTCCTGGGATGCCAATTATTCTGATGTTTGGGCGTCTTATGGAATCTAGTATTTCTCATATATTATCCTCCTGATTTTTTTTGTTATTTTCTCTATCTTTTTTGGTAGTTTTTTCTAGGTCAGTGGTTTTATCTTCTACATTGAAGGTTTGATCTTCAGCATCATCTAATCGACTTTTAATACTTTATAGAGAGTTTTTGATTTCCCATATTACAGACTTCATCTCTAATAGCTCCATCTTATTCTTTCTCAGAGTGTCCATTTCTCCTTTCATATCATGGAAGGACTTCCTAATGTCTTGTAGTTTGTTGTCTCTCTTCTGTTCCAACTCATAGAATTTTTTCACCATGAATGTTCTAAATTCTTTCTCTGACATTTTGGTAACATCCTCAGATTTTAGTAGGGATGGAGGGGAGTTACTCTGTTCCTTTGATGGACACATATTTCCTGGTTTATTCAGACCTGAGGCTCTTCTTCAACTCCTAGCCGTTGGAAAATGTATTCACTTTTGAATACTTCTTAAGAGAACATTTATTCAATTAGGAGCAATTGTGTTTCCCATTCGCTGTGAATTGGTGTGTGAGGAAGTCTCTCTTTTATTGTTTTCAGCAATTTGATATCTAGATGTGTACTCTGTCCTGGTGTCTGAAGAGTAGTATCTTCATATTCACAGGTGGTTCAGTCAGGGGAGGATCCCAGGGAACCATACTATACTAGGGAATTTCAGAACCATGATTCTAGAACTGTCTAATCCCTCTGGCAGGGTGGAGGATGAGGAAGAGAGAATAATGTAAGAGAAAAGAAAAGAGTTTAGAGGGGAATAAAGAAAAAGTTGTGGGTTGCTCCAGGGACTTAGAGATGGAGCTGGAGGTCTCCTGAAGAGCAAGGACCACTCTGTGGGACAGGGGAGAGCAGGATATTAACTAGCAAAAAGTTTTTTTGTTTTGTTTTTTTTTTTTGGAGAGGTTTTTTCGCTATAGGGCGCGTGCACTCACCAGACAGACAGAGAGAGACATAGAGACAGAAAGCGAGAAATCACCCCCCAGGAGGGATGGTCACGCCGCAATCCCTTCTCCTCCATTCTCCTCTTGGGATCTTGGGCACACATGCACACACGCCCGGCGTGAGTTCTAAGCCACCGGGTCCGGGATGCGAACCGTGGTCGACTACATGGGAATCCAGCGACATAGCCATTACGCTAACTGCTGGTTCCCGCAGCAGTAAGTTTTAATATAGATTTCTTTATTTAAAGTTTATATATTTATGCCACAAATAAGGGACATAGGGAGAGAGTGAGAGAGAAGATAGGGAGACACAGCACCCTTGACATGGACTTGAACCCATTGTGCAGCCCCAGCTCAGGCAGCCTAGCATTGGAGGTAAGCCCACACTCCGGGTATTCAACAAAGCTCCAAAATATACACTGCAAAGATGGACAGGGATAAATGTACAAACTCAGAGGTGAAAAGTAAGCTATAGGTTAGCACAGTTTTAGAGATTAAATCTTAAGAGTGAATATATTAATAAAGTAAAAAGAGCCATCAAGATAATACAAATTTATTCATAGTATATGTCAATAACATATACACTTATATTTATTTTCTATTCATTTTGAAAAGAACATCTGACTTTGGGGCTACCTGAATGTATGTCAGATGGTAAAATATTCATACCTATTAAAGTCATAATAAATAAATTTTTTTCTTATGAAGTTATTGATTTATTAGGAAATATTTTGATCTTAAATGCTCACTTCATTGGAAATTAATCTCTGGGTTATAAAATATATTTCCTGTTTTTCAAAGTAAGTAAGCCCAGTTCTTTATTTAAGACCTATTAAATGTTATTTAAAATTTATAATGTTACTAAATTGAGAAAATTTTCAGAATTAGCTTAGTATCATCTATTTAACTTAAAACTATGCTTGTGATTCCCTTTAGGAAAAAACACATGAATGCTGCATGGAAAACTGTAATCAAACATCAAATGATTTCATCTTACTGGGATTGTTCCCACCATCATCAGCTGGCTTTCTGCTCATTGCTCTCATTATTCTTGTGTTCCTGATGGCACTAATTGGCAACCTGTCCATGATGCTCCTCATCCTCCTGGACCCCCATCTCCACACACCCATGTATTTCCCACTGAGTCAGCTCTCTCTCATTGACCTAAATTACAACTCCACCATCATCCCTAAGATGGCTTCCTACTTTCTGTTTGGAAGCAAGTCAATCTCCCTCATGGGATATGGGATTCAGAGTTTCTTCTTTTTGACTCTAGGAGGTGCAGAAACACTGCTCCTGACATCCATGGCCTATGACCGCTATGTGGCTATTTGCCGTCCTCTCCACTGTCA